AACAATAACGACACCGGCGGCGATGATGATTGCGTCACGGATTACGATGCAGGGTTTTCCCGATTTGGTCCATCCGCCGCCGCCGGAGAGATGCGTCGGTTTTTTTGCGTCGTAAAATAAATTAATAATTTAATACCGGACCCGGGACACCGGCCGTCGGCCTAGGAGTGACGGTGCGTAGAAGGTGACCACGGTAGGCCGAGCGGGGGACGGGCGCGCGGGGGACACGTGTTCATAAGTGCCGGCCGGCAATAATCGATACCGCGCATACGCAGCAACACGCATCGCGTGAGTCCCGTTATTGTTGTTATCTATCTCTCGTAACATTCGCACGTATATTTCAAATGCACTACTATGTCTTACCTATATAATTATTATTGTTATTATAATTATCATCATCATCGTCGTCATCAATCATCATCATCATCATTCAGCGTACGTGTACCGGTTCGTTATTGCTTTAAAAATAATTTGTATTCGATTTTTGGATAACAGCTTGGCGAAAAAAGGAATAAAATGTTTGGTTTGGTTTGGTTTGGTTTGGATTTCGACCGTTGTACCCGTTTTGGCCTCAGCGGTTGGTTGGTTGACGGCGTTTCCGCCATGAAGCGAATTTTTTTTATTCCAAACGGAGAGAGAAAACTTAGGTACGCCATTTTTCCTTTGTCACAACAAGTGTGAGTGCGCGCGCGCGAACGCTATCCCGCTCGCTCAGCCGCGTATACTTTATGGCCGCGCGTTGTTATGGTATTGCGACGTGGACTAGCGCGCACGCCCCGCGCCATCCACCCTCTTGTACACACGTGCTGGTCTTCGCTCCACGTGCACCGCGGACGGAACAAAGAACATTCCCGGGCGTGCGCAAAAGGGGCCCCTTATTATTCCTCCGTCGTGTCACCTCCACCCCTCCGCCTAAATACGACCACTCGTAACCGAAACGACTTGCCACTCCTCCTCTTCCACAGCTGGTATATGCCGAACAGCGGCAAAGAGAGAGCGAGAGCGCGGGAGAGAGAGACGCAATAGCGGTAATAACAGCAGTAGAATGGTAATAATATACCAGTGCGCACCGAACACCGGCCGCGGAGGGGAGGGGGCGATAGGGCGACGACAATGTCCGTGGGCCACGTACGAGGGAATTGCATTGCGAGAAATTTCGCACGGATGACGCGCGCTACGGACGCTGCACGTGTCGCGCATTTCATTGCACTTTTTGACGCCAAGGCCACTTTGTCGTCCTTTGTTTGATCGCGAGGCGCGACCGGTTCTCCGACATGATATTGTTGCTATTGCGTCCGTAAATCCCATTCGATTGCCAGCAAACTGAACATGGTGATATAATACAGCCGGCGACTTTATAGAAGATATTGCACTAATATATGCGTTAAACAATAAATAATAGAGTAGATTAAACTATATTAAAGAGGGTGTGTTATAATATTATTATCATCGAAGACACGAATTCGTTCGTTAAAGAACATGGTGCAATATTGCAATATTGTTGAGTGCACTGTACTATATTATTATGAATTTGTTATAATATTATGTATAAGACACGGTGGTCTGAACGCAATCCCATAATTATGTAATAAATAATATTCGAATTTGACACATTTTATGCTATCGCGAAACACCGCATATAGTGGGATAACCGTGGTGGGAACGTACGTGTGATGAAACGAATCGAACTTTTGGACTTGACACACCGCAAAAATTATCACTGCTGACGTGCCATAATCGCGGTGTGGTGGTCGACGAGTGCAGTTTGTGCCGCAGTACATGATTTATTTAGATATAGAATCGACCACTAGCGGATCGCGTGTAGGAAAAGCGTGTAAAACGACCGACGGTCATCGGGCCTTTTGGGCGACCACCCGTTCCCGTTACGAAACCACGAGAATGCACGAAGGTCAGCGGAATTTTTTTCTATTCATCATCATTTTTTTTTTTATTCGACACTATTATTAGATTATTTCGTTTCGTCAAAATTAGACGGACACGGATTATAAATAAGCACCACAAGCTTGTAAACATAATGTATAATAATAATAAAGGCGTAATGCGCACGTGCACCACCGCAGCTAGTGCAGTTGCGAAAATTGCAAGGCCAAAGTTGCAACAAAAAGAAAAAAATTACATGGAACCGACACGTCCAAGGACTTTCCGACACACGTTGCAGCATGCAATCTGACACTCCAGTGTTCCCTTCACCGCCGCCTCATTGTCAGTCGGTGCACACACGCGCACAATAACATTTTTTTATATTTATTTAATAACTCGGAGGTTTTCCAAAGAGAGAAGATAATGACGAGTGTAAAAAGAATATTAAGCTATTGCGTCGTAATTCGGAACCATGAACAGCTGTTTTTGGGGGGGAGCGGCCCAAAACCGACGGAGCAGATATTTAAAAACATAAAACCGGTCTTGTCGGGGGTGGAATTCCCAGACACAAAGCCAACCACCGCCAATCCCTCCAGCGGTCGGAGGATATATTATTATATTATTCTAATACCTATTACTCCTGTAAAAGCGACTCTTATAATGAAGCTCGGCGGTGGAAAATAAGAGTACTACGACATACATATTAGACACGAACGAATGGACGTATTAAAGGTAGAACCCGACACACCACCACCCGCCGTCATAGACACTAAAACTATAATATATGTTACATTGTGCAGCACGATTATCTACCGTGGTATAAATTCGAGACGAGAATGCGGACGGCCAACTGCCGTTCAGCGTCCTTACCATACATGCCTCGATTTCCTTCTGGATCCAAATTTGTTTTATGTTAAAATGTATACCATGTTTTCCGTGTATCAAGGACAACACTATATAACTGCAGCGCTGCACACAGACTTATTTACGTGTTTGGGGATGCATCATTCGTATTATCATATTATATTAAATATTAATGCAAACGAACACGTGAGTACGTAATTCAAAGTAAATTTCAAATTTCCAAGAATAATAAACTATATGTACGTATTAGGATACGCTTCTCTCGTCGTGGCCATTATATCATATATATATGAGTTCGAATTCTTTTAACGAGCGATTGTAAACGCAACAATACCTCTGACTTTCTCCTTCTATTTGAATCCCAATTTTTATAAATTGACCGTTTATCATAACATTTACAAATATTACGAGGAAAACGATTTCTTCGGCGGTTACAGGATGAAAGTTGTCGTATGAATGCGCGTTCAACAAATAATATTTTACTATAAGTGTATTTATTTTGTCATAACAGCAACACCGCAATAGGGAAGGATTATAGTACTTATACCGTGTGTGATGTATCGATGCACATTATAGGACCTTTGCATAAGTTCACATTATATTATATTATTATATTATGTATTGCTGGATTGTTTAACGACGGTTTTTCCTCACACTCGCATGGCATTATAGTGTATCACTTATATAATATTATTCTAGCGAAGTAGCAAATATATATTTTAGCATAATATATACCTATTTCAAAATTAGGGAACACAGAACATGGTTGTAATACTCTTGTACGCTGTATTTTGTAAAAATATATTTTCATTTAAAAAAAAAAAATTGTTTTTAATGTTATTGATACTTATTAGATATTAGATAATTCATCAAAAGATAAATCGATTATTTTTGAACTAGTCAAGAACACATTATTATCAAATTAAACGTATATAGTATAAGGTAAACGTAAATTACATATACTAGGTTAATGTAACAGAAGTTAATTATTATTTGTACACTAAACCATTACCGTATAACATAAAATATAATATAGGTACACGAACGCTAAGTACACCTAATTATAAACAAATAGCCGCTTGCTGTTATTTCAGTACAAAAAATATATAAATTTGCTTACTTAGTAAGAAATATTTTTAAAAGATAATCACAAAACTATTTATTTTATTTTGTAGTGTATGAATACCGGCCAATGGTTTTTATTCGATTAGAAAAAGTTATTTATGTTCAAGTCAAATTGATTAAATGATGTTAAAACTTTAATTATTTATCGTAATACGACAATTATTGTTTAAAAAATACATTTATTCACCTTCCGGCAATGATTTATGGTTGCGTCGGTGCAGTGGGTGGGCGGGGAAACAGTCCACGAGAGAATAAAGTTAACAAATTAAAATTGTCGTCACGGCTTGTAGCACCCAACTGCAAATTGTAGTAGATATCTATTACTAACGGATCAGCGCACTTTCGGGGAAAAAAACCTACAGCGCTACCGTAATCATTATTATTATGTGCACCTAGAATATTCTAGCTATTGAATAAAAAATAATTAAACAAAATAATTCCTACACCAACACCAGAATCAACATGCGAAAAAAAAACAAAGAGCGGTTTTTAACAAGCTGACAGGGGCGTATCCGTTTTATTAGTTTTATATTTCACATATTATATCTCTTTGTGTCCGAATTAACGTAATGTTAATATACCTAATACTAGGTACAATCATATTAGGCATACATACTCTGGCCCATTTTAGAAAGGAGGAAATATATAATGACGATTGACGGTCCGCGCGTGTATATATACGGATGGACGGTGATGGCTATCGGGGCAATTATTCTAAACATACATCATAATATACCGAGCACAATCGTATCTACGTGAAATTTAATTTTGACGAGCAGCGCATAGAGACAGTATACGAATTTCTGTATACACGACGAGGTCCGGGACACGTCAGAGTATATTAAACGAAGTAAACGTTTTTGGATCAAATTTTAAAATGTGCTTGCAGCATCGTCCTATGCACATTCGCATATAATTATAAACGCATGTGTTCACCTTTTGCGATACATAACACTGCAGTGTGCAACCGCTAAATACTACAATCGAACAATTCGTAAATAGACCACGAACTCTAATAATGTTATAAACACCAGTTTTTTCGATATTTTAATTTTCAATTACATTTTAATAATATCATGTTAAGACACAAAATAAACCAATCATATTATAGGATAACATGTGCTACTGACCTTCTTTCGCTTGGGCACGTCTTCGAAATCGTCGTCGGTCAGACCGATGCCTTCGTCGACGACCGACGGCAGGCCGCGTCCGCTCCAGGCGGCCGAGGAGCTGGACTCGCTCAACGGCGGTGACGGCGAGCTGCGACACGAAAAAGCTCCTTCGCTGGACGTGGACGGGCTGGTGGACAGCGACTCGGGTTGTTGGCAGCGCGTGATGCGTCCTGAGCATAAATAACAAAAACCGTGGTTGTAGTGGTTTATTTTTATTTTTTTAAAACTCGAAAAAATCAAAAATAGTACACTTGGTGCGTCAGAAATAGCGAGTACAATAATATTACAACCACGCCGAGCGCGAGGTGGAGCGTGGGGGGAGGGGTTGGGCGAGCGCAAGAAAATTCGCAGAGACCGAGCGCGCGAGACGGGCGGGCGCTCGCGGGCCCCCACGCAAACGCCAGCCGTTGCCGCCCGAAAATATAAGCTCGTAGGCGGCCGTGACGTGACGTCATCGAATGACGCTAGTGCCGGGACACGCGGGGGCGGCGGTTACTGCTGCTGTCGTCAGGTGGTGAATCGTCGTAGTCGGTTGGAGCGGATTGAATAATAATAATAATAATAATAATAAATAATAAAAAAACACGACGTATAGGTACGCATATTATTATTAACACTCGTGTGTTTGTGCAATTGTGCGTGTGCGTAAGTCGGTTCACGCGCACAACAACAACTATTCGTCCTTGTGTGAGCGAGCGCGAACGTAAATTTCACTACTTTTTAGAGGTTTTGTTTTTAAACCTTATTCCTAACACATTTCAAACAATCGAAATTTGTTTGATATTTGTCCAACGATAGTCATACTCATTGTACGTACGCATATTATACGACAGCGACAATCGAACTGCACGCATTTCGTACGTGATAGACGTCGACAATGACGCGATTATAATATTATTATGTAGGTACCGTACAAATTTAAAAATATTAAAAACCATGAAAACCACGTCGTCAATGACGACAACAAAAACTCAAGCAATTGTCGATTTCCGGATTAAAGTCATCAGAGTTGGAATAATCCGAGTGCGTTCTACGCGATACCTATATACGTCTCAGAAATCTCATATCGCTCGTTATTGAGATAGTGGTCGAGCCGATCGAGTGGTGCATACAAAAAGTAACATTTGTTATTGGACAAGTAGTTCTAAAACGATCAAATTAATCTCATTATAGCATTATAATATTCTGCTTATGTGCTGCACTTGTATTAATAATTTATTATCCGATCGCGGAGTGCCGGTGGCGATTATGCAGTAAAACTGTAAAAGCGTGTAAATATTGGCTGTTAGTGCAATATTTAATAAGCACGTGCAGCATGGTAGTGATGAGAATCGACTGATAAAAAAATGTTCTGTTGCTATGCACGCATGACACAACGTCGTATATTTTACAGGTATACACGCTGCACTTATGTACTAATGTTATATTGAAAGTTAATATTGAAGACTATAATCCGATATAAAATCTTTATAGATGACGACTTTCGATCGAATTTAAACATAAAAAAATGTAACTGCAAATATTAATAGATTAAAACCGTGTACGTTTCGAATGCTGTTTAGATGAAAAATATGATATAATATTATACTATTTATAGTGATACCAATTGAAATCTTTTTTGTCGATAAAGTAATGCACACTTCTTAGTTAGGTAGGTTCTTATTGTATTTACTATTTTCCCCTATGATCTGTCACGAACATGGCCTTTCTTGATGACGGTAGCGGGAAGATTATCAACCGGGTTATGCACAAAACCTCGCGTTATTATCAGTGCACACGTAAATCATCATTTTAAGAGTATAATATAACATTGAAGGTATACCATTTTAGGTCGTGAAAACGCCATCCGCGGGGATAGAAAAAAATCAGAAGTATATTGCGCAACGGCATCGTGTACCTCTATATATGTACTGCACATATTATAATGTTTATTGTACACGGGTGTGGGGACAAAGCTTAGTTGTGCACTATAGTGATGGTTATACAACACCGTTTCTGGATGGAAAAAAAACTGTTACTAGTTCCTCCGACTAGCAAGACCAAAGTCTCGCGCGAGCGTCTTGAGGTCGTATTATATAATAATAATGAGTGTTATTCAGACACGATTTTTTGGACGAATTACTCCTTCTCGTATAGTACAATATCATGTTGCACGTGATATGTGGTATTAGTGCATTCAGAGAAAACTACAGATGCGTCACACGTAGTACGTACACGCTCAAAATATTTTTAACTATAAAACGATGACTCACACATCATATCATTATAATAAATATACCTATATTCTATAAGTCTGGAAACTATGATATTCATTTGGGTGGGATGGGGGGGGGCTTTGCCGTAAAGATTTTATCATTATGATAATAACGTTCAACGTGCGCGCATAACATACGTCTGGCGTTCAAATTATGTGTCACGCGCGCCGGCCGGCGACACAGTTTCCGAGCGTGGTCCGTCCTTGTCGCGTCCAATGTCGGGCGTTTCGCGCTGCTCGCGCGCGTTGGCGGGGCGGGCCGGGCCGGTGCACCAGGAGCGCGAGACCGGTTACACCGCGGCGGGCGCGCGCGCTTCGCGTCCTTAACACTGCGTCCCGGTTACGAAATGCCACATAGACGTGTACCCAAGCGCGCGAGCCGAGCCACCGCGGCGGTACAGCGCGCGCTGCATAGAAAGCTGGCTTTTCACTTTTACCATTATCATATCTAGGCCACAGTTGGGCAACTCTCTATAATATAATAATATAATATGAAAAAAATAAAAAAATACGTCGGAGAATTATTATTATTACTATTGCTGTTGAGTAACGGCTTGGCGGTGATAAGAACTTCACGCGCCAGATGGCGGCGGACGCTCTCGCTCGTTCAGGCGGCGTGCACGGCGTCTTTAAAATAATGCCATCGACGTACAATATTTATAAATACAAATACAATATTGAAGCGACGAAACGAAAACTGCAAACTCGATCACATAATATTATGTAACATGTGATACATAATATATTGTGTATTATATAGATATGCGCAGGGTCAAGTGTGCTTTAGAGGAAAAAAATGCGATCGAGTGCGATACAAAATGCAATAAGTTTTAAGATCACCGATACACGCGCGTCGGCTGTAAATGCAGCGTGTACGTGCAACGCGCGCCCGAGCCCGGTCAAGTGTTGTACCCACGTCGCCGCCCGTTATAATTTATACACACACACACGACGACCGGATCGTTTAATAATTAGACGTGCGGCCAAGTGCCCCGTTATGCACACATTACGCGTAATGCATAATAATAATATTTATATGTATCGGACGGACGTTACACGATTACGGTTTTTCGCGTCCGGACGCGTGTATATCAGACGTGGTTTTTCTTCGCGCATTGCTGCTGCAAGTACGAGGCATTATATATATACCACCCATATTTATGTACACACACACATATATATATATATATATGTATAATGTATATTGTGTATAGGAACACCGTACTCCGCTGCTGCACCAGTGGTCAAATCAGAGGTCAACGTACCGCCGCCGCCGGTTAAAGTACATATTATTATTATTTTTATTTTTTTATAGGTATGTGCGGCGGTGTCAATGCACCGTAAAACAAAAAAAAACAAAAACACGCACGAACCACGACGGCGGCATCCCTGCGACGCAACACACACAAGTATATTATTATAATATACGGTATATAGTGGGCGACAAACGAAACCGCGTTGATTGCATGTTGTAGCTTCCTGTGCGCATATAGGTATAAAGCAGCTGCAGTATTACTAAATAATTTAATATATTATAATGTGCAACGCGATGTGTAGCCGGCGTGCCACCCTGTAACACCTGAAGCGCGGAGTCATTTGCGCACCTCTACCGTAATGTGCATTGATATAGTAATGCCATAATTCTTCATTTCTAATATTATACTATGCATAATATTACAATAATGACAATAATGTAATTATCAAGCCCACTCCCCTCTCCCCACCGTATATTGCGCATAGTATTACGTATACACTACATGGGTACCTACATCGGTCGTAGTTTTTTTTTAAATCGTTTAAATGATAATAATATGTTTGGGTTTTTTTGTTGCAGGACATGGCGATATTGTTGCAATGTGAAACCGTGGAGAAAGGACGTCGTCGCTGCAGAGCATGACTGAAAGTGAAATCCCGCGTATCCACTTCCCCTCCATAATATGATATATTATATATAAAAAAAAATCACTTCTCCCCCTATATTTGATGTATATACGACGTTGATTATATCGCGCGACTGTACCTAAAACTTAAATTTTATCGCGGTCCGCAATCGGCAACCCCTCCCCTCCCCCCATCATCCGGGTCGAGTTACCGACTGCAGCGACCGTTTTACCGAAGATTTCCATTGGGTTTTCTCACGTCCCGGAACGCACGAAAAACACACCGAACGGATTCGGGTGAAAGTGCCCGTATGATATACAACTATAATGTATAGTAACGATTCACGGAATCGAAAACAATAGCGATTTTATTTTGCTCCGAATACGCGATTATGAAAAATATATACCGACATAGTGCGGTGGATGCAAAAAAGTGCACTTAATTAAAATACCGACCTTGGATGGACGGCGAGTGGGGACTGCATGAGAGACTCATCAACACCAAGGCCGCGGTGCACTCTGTCATTTCTTCCTCTTTTGGTTCATTATCGTCGTCTTCATCTTTCATTTCCTCTTCGCGGGATTCGTCCTGATCTTGGCTACTGCTGGGCCGACGTTTTCGGGACCTGCAGGTTCAAAGAAAAATGATCGATTTTAATTTCAATGCTAATATTCAAGAATCGTGTAGTACTTAGGTTACCATTCGTTATTAAATATTAAAAAACAAACACACTATATAATATCAACAAAAATTCTTCAATAACAACAACATTTTGATTACATTTTAAGATTTTAGCCTCAACCAGAATATCATGGAAGGTCAGGGCAAACAACTGAATTCACACCTGGTGTATGAATTCTATTTTTAAACATCAAGGATGAAGGAACTAGGTAACTAGTGAGGGTATATTTTAATTCTAATTATTACGTCAAGGTTTAAATTTAAAGCAATGTATCAAATATTATTATAAATACATCTAAGCATTATCTCCCGATCCTGAGCTCTTCTGTGTTATAAATCAATAGCTATTATTTCGTTCCTAATTCGAGCTTAGGTAATCTGACTTTCTAATTTAGATCAATTTTGTCGGGTATCTACTCTAATTTTTAATATTGCATTTCTACAGGTAGCACAATAATATTGCCCGATACACTGCAACTGGATTTTCAATATTATGGATAAAAAACCTATTAAAATGTTGATCACCATCAATATGATTCTATAATTTCACATTATACATTCAAATATGCAATCGATAAGATTAATGCAAACAACAATCAGGGAAACACATAATATGTAAACAAACCCAGAAGGCGTAACAATCATAACACCCGTACAGATAGATAATTTACCATTGATCGATACACTGTACATAATAGTACTATGTAGTATATCATGATATACATTATATGTAAATAAACCTCCATTATTGCGTAACTTATCGTAATGGCCGAGTGATTTTATTTGTGCAATTACTATCCGCAAATATAGTGAGTTTATTGATATGCCTATATATAAGCTAATTATATTCCCCTTGTGTATGCCGGTCCCTAAGTGTTCCGGGACATAATATATAATATCGAAAAAAACCAATAACAATACAACAATGTTAAACGAAGACAATTTTCTCGGGTATCACCACGCCCGACGTGACTGAAAAAGCAATAAGTAGGCCAAAACTACAATAACAACCGTCAGCAGTTTGACTCTCATTCATGGTCGCTGGTGAAACCCACACTATTATATTATAGGTACGTACACATACTACATATTCTTTGAAAATCCTGTCGTGTTCGCACTCCATGCACCTGCGACGCCAACAACCTTGCGAAATCGTATTGAACTTGATTGTTTTTAATTCATGTACGCGTATGCATGCAGTGAAATAACCAGATTTCATAACACTGGTCACATAAAGGCCGCGACCTAGGGTACGGTTTATTTTTTCGCTTAACATTATGACTGTCGTTTATAATTAAAAAAAAAGTCGGCGAAACGCACCAAATTTGATTTCCAAGTCACTGCATGATATACGTCAAAAAATGTTGACGAAAAAACGTCGACAGAACACGCTGATCAATAATTGAATAATATCCTACGTATATATATATATATAGTATATAATATATAATTTAATGGGCTTACGGGTTACGACAAGGACGCGAACCTTAAACGGCACGGTGGCATACCGCATTCGGCTTGTGTAAGCCTATATAGCGTGTATGATGACATGATGATGTACTATATAACGCTAAATCAACTACAACGCTTTATATAAATACATATTTGCGATACAAGTACTGACAGTGCACCGGTTCTAAATGATTTACCGGCTTACAGCAATAGAACATCGGCAACATGGCAAGGCCGTTCGTATGTCAACCGACCTTGAATAAAAAAAACCAGCTGATCCGAGGGCCGCTATTTCTTCTTTTTACAATGTTTTTTTTTTCGTTACCGTACACCTCCTCGCCGTGTCTCCAGCCACCGCCCGATAAATACACGCATGTTTTAATAATCTGAAATACGGTTTTACGACGGAACACACAACAAGGTCTACCGGACACAATTTACATCACGCGAAGGGGGACTACCATTTAAAATACGCAAAAGTGTGTGTACCTATGTGCAATTACAATATTGTAATAATATTACGTAGCGTTTAAATCGTTTGGGCGTATGCTCTGCAATGTCGATGTAGACACTTGTGCGGATATCTGCGAGACCGACCGTGCAATCAGTGTATCGGAGAACGGGATACAATGTTTTTTTTTTTTCATATAAATCACAGATTATGCAGTCTCGAACCGGAACTCTATCAATGCACATTTTCTTATATACTATTTACCCGCCCCGGCGAGTAAAAGTGAATGGTAATATGCGTGCGCCGACACCACCGATGTTATACTGTTATAGTATTATTGAAAACCGACGGCATACGACGGAAACTAATTTAAAGACATAAAATGGTTTTCTTCGTCCCACGCACATCGAGATGGGAATTCAGCGGAGAAATAAATTTAATACCACCAGTACAACGAGAGAAAATACCGTGCCAAATACCGTAACTGCCTTCATGAGAGCAGATCGTTTTCATTTTCGTATTGCCCACCCCTTCCTTTTGTGTTATCCTTTTTCACTAGTACTATTATTGTTATTATTATTATTGTAGCATAATATGATGTGTATAATATTATTTTAATATCGTACAACAAACTAAAACGATAAATCAAATTCGTACGATAAGCCCGCCCACACACACGCACGCTCCTTCAAAACAATTTCATGTTTACATTTTATACGTACGACACTACGTTCACTATACCGAACTATTTTTTTTTCAAATAAAAAAAAACGACTTTATTTATTTACCTGAGTACCTACAATCTACTATTACATAATTGCTAAACTATCAATAATTTTCTATTTATAGTGGAAACTGATGCCCGATTAACAAATACGACACCATGCCAAAATAGTAAAAAGTGTAAATTTATCATGTCCCAAACGAGTGTCAGGGATCCTGGCACCTCACATTTAGATGACCGACAGAAACTCAGAAGTGAAATGTTGTACTACAACAATGATTATGTTTAACGATATTTTCGGGCTATTGAACCGCTCTATTGTCTTCGTCTAAACTTTTATGTACATTTTTTATCTCTGCGTTATCTCCGAATGCATTATATTGACCTTATTATGTAAAACAACTATCGAACCACACAGAACCACAAATATATATATTATGCCTGAAAGAAAATTGATTACTGGAGTCGTTATACCCAGTTGTAGTATTATCAACCAACCAAAGGTTAACCGAAAAAGAAGAAGATATATATCAAACCACAACACAATATTAATACACAAAATCCGATTAGGAAATGAGAATTTTAATTTTTAATCCATCTTATTTTATATAAATAAAAACTTACCCGCTGATTTCTACAGCGTTCTGAGAGGACGAACTACGTTTCCTGTCTGACATGTCTGCCAACCTAGCGAAATCTGTATCCTGGTCCATTAACCGTGCCGATTTTCTAGACTCCAACACGCGGACGTCATCCAATTTCTTTATTACTTCGATGGACCCCTGCAAAAAAGAAAACAATGGTAAATGGTGGTTTTAAATAAATCGCATTCGGCAAGGGTCGAGGGTGGCAGTGATAAAAAACGCATCATTTTCTGGTAGCCGCCAGTGATTATGTATCTTATGCATTTAATAAATCAACAAAATAGTCGCTATGCTTTCACTCCGCCCGCGAGACCGGTTCGCTTCCTTGTGAAATCGGTGAAATGCGTACTCACACACACCCATGTCTCAAAGTTCACGTATAAGAAATAATTATATTTTTCATAAATGTATAAGGAAGTAAAAGGAGACGAGATTTCAGTGGCTTTTTCTGTAAACTCAAGGTTCAAAATTGTTTTCATGCTTGCAACCGGTTACCACAATAGTGCAAATTACAAGAAAACGCACGAGTAAGGTATATTATACTATGCGAATTTCCATGGCCCGACTAAATGACCCGGATTGTAAATCAAGCCTGCGATATCGGTCGCGCACACGCCGCGGCAAAGTCAAGGTCACGCACAACGCAGTTGTGTGCATTATTATTTGTAGAATTATAATATATATTATTAATAAATGATAATAATAGTAATAGTAATAACCACACATAAATATTAAATATAGTACCTAATCGGCTAATCATAATAAATATTAAATATGCACACAGTTTATTGCTCAAGTTTCGATAACAGGCGCTATCTACGAACTTTTCACACCTCTGTCCACACCGCTACGAGCGAATTGTGGTTACGAGTTTCCAGCCGCCAAGTGGTACACAGAAGCGTGCAGCGGAGGCGGTAGCGTTTTAAAGAGGGGGGGGGGCGTGTTTGCCGCAATTACGATGTCCTTTCGCCAAATCGCTCCAACGGAATGTCGCGCCCGCTCGCCAGGAGAAAGGTATGTTTTTATTGTATACGTGAATATCATATTATTATTATTGTTATGCACTAAACTCCGCGGCGGCGGCGACTTGTGATGTAAAAATAATAATAATAATAATAATAATAATAATAAAAATGAGGTAGAAAGTAAGGAGCCTTAGGAGCCCACCCCCACCCCCTCCGCGTTGCATCCCGTTCACCCAACTGGTTTCAACTGCGCAGCGAACGGAACCCGGACACCACGTATTTTATAATACGATTATTTAAATAATATAATATTTCAATATTTGATTTCAACACTGTAGAAAATATGAGTTTCTCACACGGCATAACACGTTACCCGGACAATTACGTAAAAATTAGACTCTAATCTGAGATCCTCGGAAAACTCGATTTCTGTCGGTTTCGGAAACTCAGAAAGTCGTCGATGGCGGTAAGCCGTGCCTGATGCTTGATATAGGGTGATAATAAAAAACGACAAAATCCCATAAATGCCGCCAAGATGAGGGGACGAGGGTTGACGACCCCGTCGAGCAGCAGCTGCCAGCTGTGGCGGGACAACAGTCGAAAAGGCGATTCCCTGTTCATGCATAAAACGTAGGTATGCATACGACACGTCCTGTCTGAATGTCCGATGGATGCGTATGAATATTCAAAAAACGACGTACGCTCATCTCGCCGCCGCAGCAGCAGCCGGCCGGCCGGCCTCGACGGTAAGTTGGCAGCCATGTCACACGCGCATTGCATATCGCAACCGCCGCCAACCCGGTGAAATTGGCGTGCCTACGCGGAAAACTGCTGCGTACGCCCGCCGCGGATATTCGAGTTCCGTGTGCAGGCAGCAACGCGTAAGTTATTGTATTACGCCGCCGCCTCGATTGTTATGAGCACGAGAAGCAATTAAAATCGCACGGTCAGCCGTGTACTCGTGCCGGCCGGCAACAAGTAACGGGCAGCGGACGCGGGCCAGGGGAACGACAGAGACTGAAAGAAAACACTTCCGTTTTGGCGCCAAACACACGGGCTGTCCCGCCGCTATAAAAACCAAACCGCAAACGAGACGGATCGCTTCCTCTTGGTAATACGATCGTTTTTACACAGACCGACGTAATCCCTACAATATGCAAAGTCGGCAACTATCTCGACAGTTTAAATTTATAATTTATTATATTATGGACACTCACCTCGTGCCCGTGCGGCATGATTGAAACTCGCACTTCTTCAGTGTCCGGTCTGTGGACGACCACGTCGCCGCATATCTCGCGACCGTTGAACGTGATGTACACCCGCTGACCGGCCATCAGTCGGAGGTCGGACAGCGTCTGGAAACCGGGGCCGACCAGCTCGGTGGCCCGGTACTCGCGCCGGCCGCCTGTCCCGTCGTCGAACCGTATTGAATACCCGGTCTCGGAACCGTCGGCGGCCGTCTTGACCGCGGCGATGATGCCAGCGCACAGCTTGCCGTCATCGCCGGACGGCGCGCAAACGCGCGTCCCGATGATGGACCGCTTGGCGAGCCGTTTACCGGCGCCAGCGATCAGCCCGTTCCTGTGTCGCATCGGGATCGCGAACGAAGCGTCCAGCTTGGCGGTGTGGTACGACGTGATTGATCGATATCGTTTATCGCGCTTAAGCGCGATCGGGGAAGCGGGCGGAGAAAAAATTAACACGAAACAAAATGTGTATCGGCGTCACTACCGTCCGATATCAGTCGACACTCACGCCACCGTCGTACCGATTCACGAAATTATAACAACACATTTTGATCAACCAATAAAAAATATTAGAGAAAAAAAATTTAAGTACTATATATACCTGTATATATAATTATATATTATATATTATTGATTACGATTATATTCGCGTTATTTAAATAACACAGATCGGAATCGTAAGAAAAACGGTAAAGTTTTTGAGCGGCGATTTTTTCAAATTATTTTTCACACAAATGTCTTATTTTTTTGCGAATTCGAATTCACTCGGAATATACACAGTCGACGGAGAAAACGACGATAAAAACAACAACAACAATAATACTCGGTGATTTGTGGCCGAACAGCCGAACAGCGAAGGACTACCGGCTCCGGCAAGACGTAAAACGGAACTATGGACGTGGTTTGGCACAAATGTTCAACGCCACAGCTGACAATGCCGGTTGCCGGTATCCACGTGCAGTGATACCAATTTACCGTACCCTATCGACCCGGTTTTGCGTTCTACGCTTCTCTACTCTATTATTATTATTATTACGACGCGCATCCTGAATCCACTTCTCGTTCACAAAGGAAATCAACACCGATTTTCTGTAGTTTTTCCATGAAATATGGATTCGACATTTTTTCCGTCCACAAATCGTCTATGTTGGCCTTTGATTCGGTGGGAAGCACAGCCGCGGCTCGCGTAGTATTACAGATATTATGTTTTTGGTTCACATTAATGACGTCATCACTCTCGTATTAAAGAAGGTTTATTTTTTATTTGCGTCGTCATTGGTATTTCCAATAATAATAATTATTATTGTGTATTGTATTATTTTATGCAACACACTTATACAAGTTAGTAGCTTAGAACGGCGAACAACATAATAATAAAAACAATAATATTATTATATATTATCTAGGTATACATTATATATACAAATGCATTCTGCGATCTGCATCATATTATGTTACATTAGGCAGCAGGTAGGAGTATGACATATTAATAATAACAAAACCCCTGGTTGGTGTGAAATAAACGTTTGCGAAACAATGACACGGGATATTATCTATATATATATATTACCTTATCTATCAACCAAGATAATTAACCTATATAAAAACTCCCACAACAACCTAAATAAAACGAAAAAAGCTCATCATTACAAAATCGGCGAAAAAAGTCTAAGCCTAGGCTATGACCACACCTACTACAAGACATATTCCCAGTACACTAACCAGACAACTAATAAAGAAGATATTTGTCATGCTTATTTGAATTCATGGTAAATTATTGTACATTTATAACATTATAAAAACATATTATGTTGTATTAAAAAAAAAATCGAGTTTTCACTATTGCAAATTTGTGTACGTACCTATATTATAAATTATAATATTATATTCGTGTTTGGACGATCAAAGTCGAATAATTTGTAACTAAAACGTATCGTTGTGTATAATTATATTTTTACTTGGAAAATTATATGTATAAGAAACAGGCAATAACAATAAAAAGTTTGGATTTAGAATTATTTTTCTACGTATTCGTTACTAGTAGCAATATACATATTACGTTTATATTCAATGTTACAATGCTATATAATAACGTGCGTAACGTGCATAACGTGCATACATATTATATAAGTACATGCATTAATTCATTATTTTGTGTGAAATATAAAATGTTGTCAAAGTTCACTAAAGATTTTAATGCATTCTATAATAACTGTTTTAAAATGTATACACTAGAATATGAATAATCGGGCTTTTATCTTCTATATTGTAGTATATTCCTGTGGACCTTATATTAAATAAGTATAGTTATAAAATAATCTTTCTATCCAAAAATAAAAACAATATTACGAAAATCTGAACGAATAATACATACCATTATTTTTTCTGATTTTAGTATTTATGATTCTTTTGAAAGTAAAATCATTTATATTTAAAATTGTTTGCTAGATTATTTTTTTTTATAAATTGTCAACTCGAGTGTTAAGCTAAACGATTATGTTAGTTCACCCCGCACTGATTATTGTATTTAAAAAACATTTATTTTAATAAGTCGTGTTATTAAAAAAAAGTAAAAACTATTGCATAAGTAAAGTGATTTTTAATAGCTAAATATAAATATAATAGAAAGAATAATTCTCAATAATATGCATAAATTTACATTTACGTGTGATATGTAAATAAAACGAAATGTTAATTCAATGAATAACTAATTTAAAACTCCACCTGTAACGTAATAGCACTCCTCTAAAAAACAGTCTAACAGTCTAACGCATTTATTTTATAGTACAATAATATTTTAAAACATCCAAACCCTATAGGTAGGCAGGCATAGTAGGTATATGGAAATAATTATAGTTATAAAAATTACAATTATAGTCTACCAAAATTATACCAAATCAAAAATGTATACACGTACAGATACAGCGATAGAAATAAAAAGATACAACACGGTTTTAGCATTGACAATAGCTGATAAAAATGATGATTGATGTTTTTAATGATTTGACTTTTGGCATTGCCATTGCACAAGCACAATTTATCCTTGTTTATATAACGTAAAACAAACAACAATACAATCATCCCACGATTCATCTTTCGTGATATTTACCATCGTAGAATTATTCAGCTGCAGTATAAACGAAAATCAACCTATATAAAATAACGTGTTCTACATTTTCCGATGTATATATAGGCTAACGTGCTACTCGTTTACAATCGAAGTTTACACCTATAGGAAACAATCTGAATCTATATATTGTGCTTTTAGTATTTGTGTAATACGCTTTGAACCCGTAGTATAAACTATAAGGTGTAATTAAGTCCCCACCCAAACGAAGGTGAAACCCGACAACATAATGGGGCTTTGGAATAATTTTGTGTTTTTTTTTTTGTTTGTCTTAAAGCTTTTCCATCAACGACACGCAAACCACATACATCGTTACATTGCATCGACAATGCTTATTGTGTTACTGTTTCTAAAAGCACTGCACACCTACATACATACGTGATATTACACGGTTCACGTAACAAATACATTCTAAGGTTATTGGTATTGTGTTAGATTTTTTTTCTAGAAAAATTCCCATTCGGAATCTCGTTTACCCCGCACCGAACGAAAACGGCGTATTATTATAGTTCTATACATTTTATAGAAAAATCATTGTGCTCGTGTGTGTCTTGCCGCATAATAACAGGTCCATATAGACAACAGGTCTGACGCGCATAAATCGTATTTTTTTTTTTTTGCAATAATATAATTAATAAATATGCAATTAACACCGCGCACACGAAATGCAACGATCGGAGAACTATAGATGCTATAAGAGATATCGCTATACAATATTTGGTCATTTCCTTTACACTTATATTATAAGTTATAACAACCACATTTACAATGATATAACCTCTGGTATAAGCGGTATAGTCGTCAGTACACTGTACATGCAGTCGTTCGAGCTCGCATAGGCTAATACGGTATACCGTATACGGTACCTATACGATATATTTTAATGTATGCCGTGGTCGTCACTGTGTCCAACACGTTCTTCCGTAACATATTATATCTACTCTATAATCACAGTTTATTACATGTTTATTGTACTCTTAATATAGCGAGCGAAAAAACTAAATGATGTTAAAATATTCTGCGCAGTTGTTTGTTTTTGTTATTCGTTTTGATTTTTCGGGCACGTCTCGTTATTAATAATATTGTATCCGCGTGCGTCGATTGCGTTTCATATGGTACGATCCGTACACGTAATATAATACAATATAATATATAAAATATATATTATTTACCATATTATACACAATGCGCACATATCTAATACGCAACAACTATCGTATTTAATACGAGGGGCGGGGATTGGAGAGATTGATCCTTCCGAGCCATTTCGAGTCCCAAGTCTGATAAGTTTATCGATCGATTGGTATTTTCGTGTTCAATAATATTATGATTGCTGTGACATTAATTCAATTGTGTGTACGATTTACCCTTGTCTCGCGGTGAGGGAGAAGCCTCCCGCTTTTCGGACACCTATACGTTTTGTGTACATGATATATTGATATAATATAATAACATAATGTGTTCACAATAAATACAAACCAATAATAACAAGTAATAACCTATATTACAAAATATTAAAGCAATACGCAATATAGTAAATCAGTAGATTTTATGATATCATTTTGAACTTTCGGATGTTCAAAAACTCGGTTGTTGTTCTTTTGCCGTCTTGGATTCAAATATTTATGCTTAATAAATATACGCATTGTATATGTACATCGACATCGTGACTGACACACAATCTGCGTGTATTACATATATATATATATTATTACTATTATTATTATTATCATTATATGTACATAATACAATATTATATACATAGTGCCGAGCAACGTAACAGACGTAAGACCGACCACCGGGCACCGGAATGACCCACTTTTCGCGGTCAGAGCGAGAGCAAAATGCCCGTCGTGACCGGGTTTTATGTGTTTTGCAAATAGGTCAAAAGAGCCACGGGGAACGAAACGGTGACGATCGTATACTATAATATTATTATAATACAATATAATAACCACACGGTAAACCTAGGCCGAATCGTGATGCATACAAACGGACCCGACGAAACGTACCTAAGTACAGCCATTTCTATGGGTACCTATACTTAAAAAAGGTATACGCTGTACAGCGCCTATTTAAGGCGGCATGTTGTGTACTCTAAATTGTTTGCGGGAAAGCGCAGAAAGTGAAAATGTCGATTTCACTCTACCGCAAAAAGCTTCTGTTTTGGTTGCACTTTTTAAACGGAACGCGCCACGACCAACGCAAATAATATTATAATAATATTATTTGCGTTGTTATGAGTGTGTGTGTGTGTGTGTGTGTGTACTTAAGTAATAATGTTGAGCGGTAAACAACGACGCCGAAAATGTTGTTGCGCCGGTCGGCCGTGTGTGCGGTTTTATTTTTTCCCCTTGTAAATGATGCGCGCTTCGCCGGCCGGCCGGCGATGGCCGCTCAGCTGACACGCGTAAACACAACTTTCAGCACGATCGGCGGCAGTGGTGGCGAACGGCCGGGCGCGAGGGGATTCTGCGGTGACCTCGGTACCGTGTTTACATTGGTTGACCCACTTTGGCATCGACTCGGCGCGCGCACAGCGCGCACACACAGACTCGCGCGCACGCGCTCGCCGCAGGTACGCCAGCCCGCGCGCCGACACGCCGCCACCCAGCCCATCAGCCGGCCGGCCGGCCGGCCGTTCGCCGTGCCGCTAGCGCGAAACAGCCGCGGCTTCGGGGGGCCGCGGTTCGCGCGGTGAAAAATTTTCGCGGCGCGTGCGTCGGCGACACGATAATTATCGTACATTATTGTGGTGCGCTGCCGCTTAGTATGTCGTGACGT